GTCCTTCATCAACCTGATCAAGGCTTTTGACTTAGTCAATCAGGAAGTGCTATGGATGATCCTGTCAAAGGCCAGCTGTCCAGTGAAATTCATCAACGTCCTCCTTCTCCACAACTAGATGACAGCAATAGTCCTCAATGATAGTATGATAGAATCCTTTGACGTCAAGAAAGGGGTTAAGCAGGGATGTATCATCACTCTTACCCTTTTCTGCATCTTCATCGGTACCATTCTTCATCTTGTCAAGAACAAGCTTCCCAATTTGCAGACATTGTTCACAGGATGGACAGACTACTTTGCAACCTCAACCGGTTGAAATCCGAGGAGAAACGGCACCAATCTCATTTGAAGAACCTCACTATGCAAATGACAACATCATCTCTGCTCTCTTGGAAATCAATCTTCAAGCCTCACTTAATACTTTCACAGAAGCATTTGAAGAATTGGTTTCAGCCTCAACCTCAAGAAAATTCAAATCGTATATCAACTTGTCCCAGGTATAATTCTGGTCCATCTCTCTATTAAGATCAACAGAGAAGTCCTCCAAAGTGGGACCATTTCCCCTATCTGGGAAACTACCTGTCATCTAAGACTAACATTGATGCAGAGGTTCATCATTGCATCTAATCTGCAAGCACTTTCCTCGGATGCCTAAGCCATGTCTTCAATCACTGTGACATCCGTGCTGATACCAGGATCTGTGTGTATAAGGCAATCATCCTTCTGGCTCTTCTATATGACTCCAAAACCTGGACTACATAGATACCTCCTCAAGACCCTTGAGAAGTACCATTAATGTCATCGAGATGGATTCTCTGCAACAACTGGGAGGATAGCCACATTAACATCATCATCCTTGAAGCAACTAACAGCACCAGCATCAAGGCTGTGATCATCCGAAACCAACCTTTGCTGGGTCGGCCACTTGCTTAGGATGCTCAATTTCCAGCTACTAAAGCAAATTTCCTTCGTCCAGTTCAAGGAAGGCACTTGAATGAGAAGAGGACAAAGGAAGAACTCCCCTGAAGGCTTCCCTCAAAAAAATGTAACATAGCTGTCAATGTGTGGCAGACATCAGTTCATTAGAAACCAATTTCAACAAAACTCCTGTTTCAAGGAACTCAATTCCTTGAGAACATTCAGCAGCATGAGGAAATACAGCAAAGGAACTGCAGAAAGGAATGCCAACGATCTCGAGGCTAAGGACCAATTCCACCTTCCAGAAATATCTGCCAATTCTGCAGTTGGGAGATCCGGCTCTAGGATCACGGTTATCAGCCATACGAGGACCCACAGAACCCAGGATGAGTGACCCAGAATTCCTGAGGTGGACAACGATATTCAATTATGAGTGACTGCAGATGACAACGTCACGGCTGGTAATGGCCCACAGTGCCTCACAGTGATGGCTGAGTGGGGGATAAGGTTGCACATTATGTTTCAGTACAGTTCTGCTGATGGCCCACAATGTCTCATGAATGTCCAGTATTGAATTGCTAGATTCAAAGTCTATCCCATTTAGCACAGTGGTAGTGCCATGTAATACAATGGAAAGTATCCTTTATGTGAATACAGGTCTTCCATCTTCCGAAGGACTATGCATAGTCACTCCTACCAATATTCCATGGACACTTCTGCAGCAAGTGAACTGGTGATGAATGAGGTCAAATACGTTTTTCCCTCGTCAGTTTCTTCACTGCTAGCCACTAACGGACATGTCCAGCAGCTATGTGCTTTAAGATGTGGCCAGCTCAGTCAGTAGCGGTGCTGCCACGTCATTTATGTTGATGGACATTGAAGTTCCTCACCTAGAGTACATTCTGCACTCTTGCCACCTTCGGTGCTTGCTCCAAGTTGTGTGCAACATGGAAAAGTACTGATTCATTAACCGAAGAGGTGTAGTACAAGGTAATCAGGGAGATCCTTTCCCATGCTTGGTCTGATGTCATGGGGTCCATATTCAATGTTGAGGATTCCGAAGGCAACCAGCTCCTGACCGTACACTACTGTGGCATCATCTTTGTTTTGCCACCAAGCAGACAGACCCAAGGATGGTGATAGAGCTCTATGACATCATCTGTAAGGTGCAATATCATGACTGTGAATATGTCAGGCTACTGCCTAACTAATCTGTGAGCAAGTTCTCCTAAATGTGGCACTAGCCCCACATGCTGGTATGGAGGACTTTGCAGGACCGGCAGGGTTGAGTGTGTCATTGTCATTTCCAGTACTTAGGTCAATGCCAGATCATCCAACCAGTTTAATTCCTTTGAGACTTTTTAGTGGTTTTGATACAATAAAGTAGCTTGCTAGGCCAGTTCAAAAGCAGTTAAGAGACAACCACATTGCTCTGGAGGTCATATGTAGGCCAGACCAAGTAAAGATGGCAGTCATGAGGGAACCAGATGAGTTTTTACAATAATGGACAATGGTTTCATGGTTATTATTAACCTTTTGATTCTGGATTTTTTAATTGAAATCATATTCCACCACCTGCCAAGGTTGGATACAAACTGGGTTCCTAGATCTTTGCTTAAATCTCTGGATTACTAGTCCAATAACAATAACATCATGCCATCACCTCCCCTTATATCTGTACTTTCAAAAGCAATTCTATTTAAAGTTGGAAGCAAGGCATCATTTGTTTCTGTAAAATATTGATTTTCAGTAATGGGCAGAAATTGAACATCAATAGTAATTTGTTCTTCACGTTCAACACAAATCAATTAATGCCATTTACTCAGGAAGTGCTGACATTCAAATTCTCCAATCGCTATTTCAAGTTGAACAGCTGAACATTAAATATCCTAACCTAAATTATTAGTTTTCATAAGGTTAGTGGTAGATAAGTTTTATTTTACTTAAAACATTTTCAATGATCTGCATTCTATCCTTAATAAAAATATGACAATCTTTACATTTCAATCCAACATTTTTTAAAGACTGAAGACAGAAACTGAGCTTTGACCCAACAAGCTTCTCGAATCAATGACACATGGATTCATGAATTTGTAAAAATAGCAATGGTTAGTTAGAATTAGCTAGAAACAGAACTGAGATAAAACTTCTAGACAAACCTGAGATTTAGAAAACTCCACTACATTATAGCTAACATTATTGAGTAAAGCAAGAGAATAGACGCTTAGCCCAGCATCCTTTGTCCTCCAGATTTGGTCGAGAAGTTGAGCTAGCTCCAGCACTCTGCCTGCAGTGTCCAGGGCAATTAGCACATTGCCATCACCACGTAAAGTTTCCAGAACATTGGCTGCAAGGGAAAAACAAGTGAAGAAAAACAAACATTGACAATGCTTCTATTGCAATAAAACAATGGTTAATCTTATAACTTGCTGAAATAAAATTTAAGAAGGTCACATTTATAGCATACATGTTTGTCCAATTTAGAAACACCCAAATATATTCAGATATGCTTCATGTAGTCATTACTCAACTCTCATGTGTACAAAGAACTCTGTTTCCACATGTGCTCTTATGGGACAAAAGAGAACAGATTGCTTGTTACTTTTTCTTTCATTTAGCCCCTAGTTTTGCTGTCATCTGCCCCTTCTGCTCTGCCACCATTTAATTGGGAAATATAAAAAAGAACTGCATTTTCAAAAAATGTCTCAAGATTATTGATGGCACTATACAATTTCTAACTGGGAAAGAAGAAACCAGCACATCATAGTTTTAGAATAGGAAACACCAACATAAGGAGAGATACGGGTCTGAAATGAATTTAAACATGGCAGAAGTGGAAGATTGAAGCAAAGAATGCAAAACAATACTGCCCACAAATAACGGCCTAGGTATTCCATTCTTAATAGTGTCAAACTAAAATAATGGCAAACAAAATAGTGCCTACAAAAAATGGTCTAGATATTCCATTCTTAAGATTGGCAAAAGAGGAGACGATGGCCTAGTGGTATTATTGCTGGACTGTTAATCCAGAGACCCAGATAACGTTCTGGGGACCTGGGTTCAAATTCCACCATGGCAGATTGTGGAATTTGAATTTGATAAATATCTGGAATTAAGAATCTAATGATGACCATGAATCCATTGTCAATTATCGGAAAAACCTATCTGGTTCACTAATGTCCCTTAGGAAAGGAAACTGCCATTCTTATCTGGTCTGGCCTACATGTGACTCCAAACCCACATCACTGTGGCTGACTCTTAACTATCCTTTGGGCAATTAGGGATAGACAATAAATGCTGCCTAGCCAGCGACACTCTCATCCCATGAATGAATAAAGGAAACACTGAGACACGTCCAAATTGGAAGTCCCAAGGAGCCGACTTACACGCAATGTGTTCACCAGAACTGGCTGTGAGAGTCACCACTGACGGTTCCATCAAGACCTGTCAATGTGTAAACTTGGGCTGTTTGCCTTAAAAACAGCCACATTTTTACTTAATGGTACTTTTAGTACCCACCAGTTTAATAAATTAAGTAGAAAACATGTATCCTGAAACAATCACTTATATCCAACATAAAAACCAAAAGAACTGCGGATGCTGTAGATCAGGAACAAAAACAAAGTTGCTGGAAAAGCTCAGCATGTCTGGCAGCATCTGTGAAGGAAAAAACAGAGTTAACGTTTCGGGTCCGGTGATCCTTCCTCAGAACTGATGGTGGTCAGTTTATATGCAGAAAGTAGGGAGGGGGATGGGTTAGGGAGGAAACAATAGGATCGAGCCTAAAGAGAGTGAAGAGCAGTTGGACAGACAATTAACTCTGTCTGTTCGGAGGAAGGATCACCGGACCTGAAACGTTAACTCTGTTTTTCCCTTCACAGATGCTGCCAGGCCTGCTGAGCTTTTCCAGCAACTTTGCTCTTATATCCCTCTGAACTTATGTCTAAAAGCATGAAAAGATTTGAACTGTGCTCCAGTTCTTTGAATGCGACAATAGTACTGGTCTGTGTTTGGTGCAAGCCCTTCTATACCATCAATTGTTGAGATACATACTGAGCAATTGTTCATCTCGTTGCTTTCTTCGTGGCTGAACATAGGTTGCGTTGAAAGAATCTGTGATGAGCAATGAGGGCCGGCTAATCATTTCCAGTGAACATCCATTTAGATGGCTAAGAAATAAAACAAACAATTAGCTTGTAAACAGTACCACACATATCTGAGTTTGACATTTTTCAGCAATGTGCCTGCAAAGTTGAAATATTTCAGATTTTGAACTGAAACCTAGTTAACAGTCATCTCATGAAGATCTGTGTTGATTGAAACAGCGTAACATGTGTAACAGCGTTTGCATGCACAAGCCATGTGGAGTAAAAGATCAGTTCAAAAGGATAAAGAAATAACTCTAGTGCTTGATAATTTTTGACAAACATATTTTAAGGTTTAATGCTATTTCTTATACTGCTTGATAATTTATGAAAAATATATTTTAAGGCTTAATTTTGTTTCCTAGACCATATATCAGTTAATATTGCATCTTCTTTCTGAGCAGTTGAGGATTTTTTCCACCTAAATTCTAACCTTGTTTCTAGCATGCAAAAGAAGAATGGGTATGTACGACAAATTTGGGGGCTTATAGAGGAAGAGACAAAGTAATCAGACCTGTATCTCACAGACACTTTATTATCAAAGCACACTCCTCCTCATGCAGCTGAGCCTCAGTTTTCTTGAAAGCTGAAGATCTTACCACCTGATGTGGTAGACAGTTGTTTTGCAAGAATTAAATGTTGCATGCTACTGCGCTGAAATACTCACATTTCTCTCTTATGGTTAAAGTCAACTGCGTATACAATCTCCTCTTCTCCATCTTTTACAATCTTCCAGATTGTTCCTCCAATCATATGACCTGCAGGCAAAGGAGTAATGGATAAACCATGTCCTTTACCTAGAACAAAGAGGAAAAATAAGTTAGCATATGAATATGAAAGATAGCAATTTACATACTGCATTTTGAAATACTTGTTGTAGTATACATTTGTCACATTCCTTACAAGTACATAGTTAAATGCATGCTTCAAGCCTGCGCACAAAATGTGAGATCCGAGGATTGACAGAAATTGAGCCTCCCTGTATTGCCAATTCTGAACTCCCAGTGTCTGTCATACTTCCAGAGGCAGCATCCCATTTACTAGGATCCACGTGAGGTTAGCTCCCTCAGTAGGGGAAATCCCTGTGCAAAGGCTAAGGTGAAAAATGGGAGGACTGGCAATATTCCACAGTGGTACTGTAGAACTGGCACTCCTGCTTCTCCTGGCTCCAGGTCAATGTAACGGTATTAAAGTATTAAATTATTGGTGCCATCTCCAGAAGTCTCTTAATGGACTACAGAATACTCTACTTTCCTCAGTGCATTCAAAGTTGTTTGAGAGTTCATGAAATTAACTGACATATGTAAAAGCCCTCATGCCAATTTTGGGTGCACATCAGATGTCTGGAAAGCTTTCTTATACCAGCATGCCCCAAGCACAAATCAAGCATTTGTTACTACCCTCACCACTCACATTTTGTGCCCGAGTGGAGCAAGTCAGTTCTATTAACTAATCTGAAATCATGTTTAGATTATTTTTCAGTTATATTCTATCTTCACTGGGGTGGAAAGAGGGCAAAAGGAGGAGGTTTTCATGTTCTCAAAAATGTTGTAGCCAAGAAGTCAGTCGGTTTCAGGTCTATGATAATGCTGCAATGTAATTCAAAAAAATCAGCTGATGCTGTGGAGAAGTACTCTGAGTAAACTCAGATTTTACCTCCTGCCCTTTGGTGTTAACTACAGCTATTGGCAGCACTCTTGTCTCTGATCAGGAGGTTGTGGATTCAAGCCCAACTCTAGAAATTTGAGCACAAAATCAAGACTGTCACTTCAGTGTAGTACTCAGTTTGCAAAGTACAGAGATGTCATCTTGTGTACATGACATTAAAAGCTGTTCCCTCAGACAGATGCAAAAGTTCCCTTGTCAGAACCTGATGAAGAATTCTCTCTGGAGTCTTTGTCAACACACCTTTTTTTTTTTAAAAAGTTATCTGATGATTATCACATCGATGTTTATGGGACCTGGCTGTATGCAACCTAACTGCCGTGTTTCCTATCATATAACAGTGACTATTTCTCAAAATTAGATAATAGGGTGTAAAGTACTCTGAGACATCCTGAGATCATTAAAAAAAACTATGCAAATACAAGTCCTTTTTTTTCGTTCTCAGGTGAAACAGATGAATGACGGACCTTCAGCAATCCAGCTGAGGCTAAAAACTCATGTAGGCCCAGGACATGGAGACATGAACCCCTTGGTTATCCACCTACTACTCCACACTGGCATCAACCCAAATCACCAATGTAAAATTATGATTATTTATTGGATAACATTAATCAATATGACTTCTGGATTTCTATTCATGAATTGATTTTGGACATACCTTTTAAGTTAACAATCTGGGAATATTTCAGTTGCTGAATCTTATCAAATGCTGCATCTACATCATCCAAAGTAAACAGGGAGAACTCTTCAGTGTTGTGTCGAGACTTGTAAGAAAAAAATTAAATCAATTTGTATTTTTCCAGGAGGAAATTATGAGCTTAAGACTTTAACAATGAAAATGAACTAAAATAAATATATTTTATTAAGGTCAGAAATCACATGGTACCAGGTTATAATCCAACAGGATTATTTGAAAACACAAGCTTTCGGAGCATCGCTCCTTCTTCAGATGTTAGTGAGAAGGGTAGCATCAGACACAGAACTTACAAGTAAAAGATCAAAGGGTCACACCACTGATGAGAATGTATTAAACAAACCTAAAATGCTGTTCAATCTTTAATCAGTTAGAATATTTTAATTGACTAATATGTACATGTAAATACCCAAATTCCTTTCAAGTCACTGTCCTGAGAGAACTAAAGGTTTGATCAAGTGTAAAGAAGAGGTACCATTTTAGGTCAGACAATGCACGTTAGGTATGAGGCCTTGTTTAGAATCTGTTTGTGTTTTAGCTCGGAATCAGACTGGTTTTATTTCTAAAGTAGGAATTTATAAAACATTCTCCCTGGTTAAAGATTTAACAACATCTTAGGTTTGTTTAATACATCCTCACTAGTGGTGTGACTCTTTGATCTTTTACTGAAAAATTCTATGTCTGATACTACCTCTCTCACTAAAACCTGAAGGAGTAAAACTCCAAAAGTTGGACTATAACCTGGTGTCATGTGATTTCTGACCTTGTCCACCCCAGTCCAACACCGGCACCTCCACATCATATTTTGTTAAGGTTTTAATTACTTTTATGATTGTTCAAACAAAAACAAATCATACATCAGGCTGAGTAGTAAGACTTGCTGTAACTTGCAGCTCCTGTGATGACAATAGGAATATAGTTAATTACCAATACTAGATGTTCCAAAAAGTGAACAATGGACGACTGAAGTAAATAAGAACACAGATATCTTCCGTTTAACTCACCTGATATAGATCATACATAAACATCTGTCCCATCTTGTAAACAGGAATTGTGGCATAAATTGCACAGTTTAAACCCAGCCTTCCAACAGCATAAGGGAGAGCTCCCAAGTGTAAGGGATCAGGATGAGAAAGGAGGATTGCATCAACCAAATGAACATATCTGCAACATAAATTACACTGTAAGATTGCCATAACTAAATGTCTTTGTGTCTAATTGATCATTTTACTCAAATGAGTAAAGACAAGAAGTCTTTATGAACACTGTATTTTTTAAATTGATTAAGCAGCTCTCAGAAACTACGCAGCTGCTGATTTGAAGTTCAGGTCAGATGTGAAACAATTCTGCAAAAATAGTGAATTGAAAAACCTGCAATGGCTTTATTTTATTTTATTTTTACTAACATCAGACAACTTTTGAATCAAGATTCCACTAAATTTCTGAGAAAGGTAGTGAATTATGTTTTACCACAGCACAACATACCATGTGATATGTTGAACAATACTGACCATTGGAATCGATATTTCAGTCTTCGGGATAAATTAGGAAAATGTTAATGAAATTTGAGATCAAGTGCACTGAGGCACCAGGCTCTTACTAAATGGTATGGATAAAATGTAATCAGATTACAACATTAAATTAAACAAAACCATAGAAACTAAGGATACAAACTGAACAAGGGCAAGACTTAAACAGTTAATGGTAGAGCCCTGGGCAGTGCTGTCAAACAGAGAGACCTGGGGTTCAGGTACATAGTTCTTTGAAAGTCACAGATAGACGGGGTACTTAAGACGACATGCTTGCCTTCATTGCTCAGACCATGGAATATAGGAGCTGGGACATCATTTTGCAGCTGTTCAGGACATTGGTAAGGCCACTTTTGGAGCACTGTGTACAGTTCTGGTCACCCTGCTCCAGGTAGGATATAATTAAATTGGAAAGGGTTCAAAGAGATTGAGAAGGACGTTGTTGGGACTGGAGGGTTTGGGTAATAGGGACAGGCTGGGACTTCTTTCACTGCAGTGTAGGAGGCTGAAGGGTAACCTTATAGAGGTTTGTAAAATCATGAAGGTCATAGATAAGGAGAACAGCAGAAGTCTTTTCCCTAGGATAGGGTTGTTCAAAACTAGAGGGCATGTTTTTAAGATAAGAGGAGAAAGATTTAAAAGGGATCTGAGGAGCAACATTTTCACACACAGGGTGGTTCGTATGTGGAATGAACTGCCAGAGGAAGTTGTAGATGCAGGTGCAGTTACAACATTTAGAAGCTATTTGCACAGATAGATGAATAGGAAAGATTTAGATGGATATGGGCCAAACACAGGCAAGTGGGACTAGTTTAGTATGGGAAACTTGGTCGGCACGGATGAGTTGGACCAAAGGTTCTGTTTCCATGAGATTCGACTATGACTCTAAATTAGAATCAGTAAAATGCAACTTCAAAACAGATGGAAGGAGAAACGTATTTTCTTGACAGTTATAAATATTTTTAACATAATAATGAAAATATTGATTTTATTGTTAGTGTAGCTAGATGGAGCTTTTAATAAACAAAGCTGATACTTTTCAATGAACCGAATGATATTTTCATTGACTTCTCGTAAGTTCAACAACCTCTAAAAGAAACTATGTTTGAAAAATAGATAAAAATTTGAATCAGTCTCATATGCTTTAATGGTGAGTTGTCTACAGAGGTTCACGGTTTCAGGTTGCACGTGAAAGTGGATATCTGGTTAAGGTGTCAATGAATAAATAAATAAAAAGATCCAACAAGCCTCTCATCTTCCACCTTTTGTGAACTTGAGTTTTTCCAAAATACTGCCACATCTATTTTGACACATATTGTCATGTTGTCCCATTACCACTTTGTTCACCAAAAATGGCACATAATCCAGTAAATTTAGAATTTGACTCTATAGGTCCAAGTCTCCCAAAGCCTCACTCATCCACAACTCTATGACTTCCTCCATTCCTACAATCCTTCAGGAACTTTGCACTCTTCCAAATATTATTTATTATAAATCTCTGGTTTCTTTCAGCCCAGCATTTTGGACCCTGTTTTCAAATATTTCGCATTCAATTAAATCATTATAAATAACAGTTTGCTTACTTTTTCAGTGCATCAATTATATCCATGGAGAAGCTTTCATCCCAGCCGCAATCAAGCAAAAAGCGGAACTCATCCACCTGTAGCATATAGCACAGGGCTGATTCCTCCTGGACTCCAGAAATGGTGGTCAGTTTGATGATAGATGTCATTGTTGATTTTCAAATAAACAATCACCTCTGGTAAAATGGAAAAAATGATCGACACACACAGATAATTTATACAGCATTTAAATAGAAGCAAATAAGAATCTTTAGATATCAATGCATAAAAAGATCATACCGGATATATGGCTCAGAAACAAACCATGCAGTGCAACCAACTCCATATGCTACTCAAGCCTTCTCCCTTATCTAAATCTATCATAACCCTTTGTTTGCTTCGCCCTCGTGTGCTCATCTAGCGTCCCTCTAATATATCTACACTATTCGCGTCAACCAATATTAGGTATTTTTTTTAAATTCAATAGCTAAATTTTGAAATAATTTATTCTTAATTAAATGGAGTCCGGCCCAAAGATCTTTCAGATTCAGTGATAAATGGTTTAACAGTTTGGTGTGATGCACAAAGGCTTGCCACTCTTAAAGAGTACTGAAGAAGTGTAACTTGTAAATTTCATCTGCCATCATCTCTTCTATCTTCTTGAAAGATTCAAAAACAATCAAACATTCTGGATGAGCTCTGTGAAATTAAGCCCGAACAGACATATCAGGTGCAAAAGTCAGTAAAAGAGGAGTACAGGGAACTGTGGTTGCTGCTATGTCAAGTCGCTAGTACTGTTCCATTCCAAGGAAACTTACATGGACCGTTATCCATTCCTTTATATCTACCCTACAATGACTTGCCCATCTTGCATTCCAGATGTCATTTGAGTTCAACATTATTCCATGCTTTTGTATTCTACACCTCTAGTTTTAAAGAATTTGTTTTGCTTTCTTTCAGAAAGGATTTACTTGTGTTGTAATCTTTAGTGAACCAGCTACTCCACAGCGAAGCTCCAACACTCATCTGTTCAAATCTTACTATTTGAATCATGTCCCTACTTGCAAAATTTATCACTTCACATTTTTCTACATTGCACTGTTTCTGCCAACTATTGGTGTCTATTCGCCTCGCTAATCTATGGCCTTCAACAGACCTTCACAATCCCCTCTTTATTTGCCTGTGTCCTCAGCATTTTTGGATTTTTCTAGGCTTTTGTGGTGCAGCGGTAGTATTCTTACCTCTGGACCAAGTTGAAGTCCCACCTGCTCCTGAGGCATAACTGAACAGGTTGATTAAAAATATCTATTTAGATATTCTTCCATAATTCATGTCAAGATCCTTAATATATACGGTAGATTTGTGAAACTCCAATACAAACCTGATCTCTGATTTCAGGTCTAGACCCGAAACGTCAGCTTTCCTGCTCCTCTGATGCTGCTTGGCCTGCTGTGTTCATTCAGCTCTGAGATAACACCTCGTTATCTCAGATTCTCCAGCATCTGCAGTTCCTACTATCTCTGTTGTCTATTAAACTCAATTATGATTTCTGTAAGCATTATGTAAAATGAATCACTTTATTGAATGTTAAACATTTCTCACTCTCACAAAATTCCACCTTACCATAGAATTTCTTAATTATTAATATTAATACAAATTAGCTACTAGTAAGCGCAAGTGTGCCACACGGTCAGCACAACTGACAATCCTAAATTTGTTGTCAGAGTAATTATTTGCACATTCAAGAGTATTTGGCAAATGTTGTCAAATCTCAGCATCATATATAATGCCGGACAATGTGTTTTGAGTCTTGTAAACCAGTGTGAAATGTAGCCGATACAACTCAAATAATGGTAGATCATATCAAACAGCATATCCTTTTACCTGCAGGTACTAAAACTATTCAATCAGCCCTCACCTTCAAAACACAATATACAATACTCCAGCTGTAGTCATTGTCAAGGTTGACATTTATTTCAACTTAACTTTTGTATCTAGATCACTTTCCACAAAATCAAAACTCAGTTGGATGTTTACGGTATCACCTATCAGAAGTGCTTCCCTTTAACTAAAATTCACCCAAATTCCTCTAATCTTCCAAAGTAAATTAATCTTTGCCCAAATAAAATGAACCACCTGCAAAATGAACCACCTACAATTCCCATCTGCCATTTTTACAGCTGTGCCATTTTATCAATTTCCCTTAACAACTTTTTGTCCTCAGATTTACTATGATTCTACTTTTATAGTCTGCTGAGTCAAACGTTAATCCTCTAAAGTATCCTGCACGGGCCGATTTCTTATATACCATATCCATTGCGTGTGTTGCATGCACCCTATCACCTCCTGAAAGTACATCCAGTATATCAAGCACAATCCTTATTTCTGAAATCTGTAGTGTCCTCCTAAATTAATTTTTGCCTAATGTATTTCCGAGAAATACTCTATTGTCTTTTCATGTCAACCTTGTCTTTTTCCTTTTCATATTTGTCACAATAAATCCCAAAAAGTTTCTGGATGGGGAACATTTCTGAACAAGAGCATGGAAATGGGTTCGATCCCAGGGGGCCGGTTCCGGGGATGGGGGAGGAGACAGAGAGACGGAGGTGGTCTCTGGACTAAAAATCCACCTCCGCCTACTTCTGATACTTCCAGCGTTTAATCTCGAAAATGCGAGAGTTTCACAATTTAAAAAACAACATACCTGGTTAAAGTTAAGCGCTGAGGCCGGTACCCCGCGCCCTTTAGGGGCCGGCCTGGGTTTCTCCCTTCCTTCTCCTCAAAACACAAGCCGGACTCCGGCTCCCGCTGCCCGGGCCGCCATCTTGTCTCCGCTACGTCAGCGGGTCAGAGGTGAATAGACTCTACCACCTCTCTCATTTCCCCCCGTCCCTCCCCATTTTCCGGGTGTGAGTGGATCCGCCGCTTGCCCTCGTTGTCGAGAGGTGGCCGCTTAGGCCCAGAGCGGCAGGTGAAGGTGAGTGAGTGTAGGCCAACCGGTTGCAGATTCAGCTCCTCTCAGGCGGAGCGCTGACTACTCGAGACCCTGGCCCTCCGGTTCTCCGTCCCTCCTTCCTCCGGCCTAACTAGACTCGGTGTCTCCCACCACCACGGCCTTCCTTCCGTTGTAAAGGTCAGAGTCGGGCCCGCTCTCATTTAAACCCATCTGGATGCGGGCAATGGTGAACGTTATATATTTCAAAACTTGCAGCAAACACACACACACACACACACAAAAGGTGCGGATAGGGAGGCATGTGAGTGGGTTCAAGTCTTTAGATTAGGCAAATAGTGAATGCCGTATTCTTGGACAAATTCTGGGAAAGACCAGGAGAGGAATTATGCAAATAGTTGATGTTTGAATGTAGAAGACCGAGAAAAGAGATGGGGAGGGGAGTCACTTGCGTCTTTTTTTTTAAAAAAATTATTACTTATTGGAGTTTAGAAGAATGAGAAGTAACCCGATTGAAACGTCGAAGATTCTTAGGGGGCTTGACAGGGTACAAGCAGGTTGTTTCCCCTAATGGGAGAGTCCAGGACCAGAGGGCATAATCCCCAGAGTAAGGAGACACCCATTTAAGGGGAGGCAATAGCCTAGTGGTATTATTGTTGGACTATTAATGTAGAGACCCAGGTAATGTTTTGGGGACCTGGGTTTGAATCCCACCATGGCAGCAGGTGGAACTTGAATTCAATAAATATCTAGAATTAAGAGTCTAATAATGGCTATGAACCCGTTGTTGGAAAAACCCATCTGGTTCACTAGTGTCTTTTAGGGGAAGAAACTGCCATCCTTACTCAGTCTGGCCTACATGTCACTCCAGACCCACAGCAATGTGGTTGACTCATAACAGCCCTCTGGGCAATTATGCAATAAATGCTGGCCTAGCTAGCCACACCCTCATCCCATAAATGAATTTTAAAAATTTAAAACGGAGATGAAGAGGTTTTTTTTTCTCTGGGGATGATGAACCTGGAATTCTCTAACACAGAGCTATCAAAGCTGTGTTATTAAATAAATTCAAGTCTGACATAGACAGGTTTCTAATCACTAAGGGAATCAAGGGTTGTGGGGATAAAGCAGGAAAGTGAAACTGCGGATTAACAGATCAGCCATTATCTCATCGAATGGTAGTGTCAAATGGTCCACTTCTGCTCCTACATCTTATGGCCAGATAGGAATTGAAACTCTCTGCCCTTCCTTGGAAACACTTTGGCCTAGCAGATGTTTATCTCCTTGTGTCTGGTATCCCTTTTTCCTTGATTCACCTAACTAATCTGATCTTGACTGTTGGCAAAGTTTCTGCCTCAACTACCACTCTCAGAAATAAATTTCTCAGTTGTGGAAGTGTTTGTACAGAGGTTTTCCTTGGCTTCTTTTTGCCCTGAGCAATATTAATTCCTTAACCAAAATCACTAAAAATGAGCAAATATGTCTGTTATCTCACTGCTGTTGGCAGGGCATTGCTGTATGCAAATTGGTTACATTGCCTAGAATTTGACAGTGACTATACTTCAAGATTTGTTTGGCTGTAAAATGCTTTCTGACATTCATAGACAATGAAGGGGTCAATATAAATTGAAGTTCTTTCTTTAAATCTCTTGCAACTTAAGCCACCTTTTCTTGATATTGAAGTAGTCTGCACTTATCGTGTAATGAGATCTGGTCTTGTGGACCAAGTTGGTCTTTTTTTCCTCTGTGTGCTTATTTTCTGAATGACACAGTCCTAGAGAGACTCGGTGCCTCTACCCCAGAAAGCAGGATGAGGAGAAAACTAAAGCAAGAGTAACAAATATTTTAATGGGAAGATTGTAACATTTTCAGAAAGATGGTTTTAATTTCAAACTTTTTGATAACCTCATCAGTGGCTTAAGTATTCTACATTCCAATTTTCTCTTTTGTATCCCAAGTAGTGAATTTGTGCCATGATATGTTGAATAGGTTTTTAACGGTGTTGCAGTTTTACAAGTCAACTTTAATGTTGGAAAATTTTTATTGAAGCTAGCCAACTGTTTAGTGCTAAGGCTAATGTGCACAATGCTAACATTCTACTGTTGAAGATACTAATCAGCAGAATATTAGCTGACAGTTATTTTGTATTGAATTGACTGTCTAATATGCGATCAGTTGATAATATTATAAACAGAGTATGTAATTAGAATTTTGACAGCAGCGTCAGTCCACTCTGTTGAAATACTTGGCTGCCAAGCCAATGTGCCAAATAACTAAAGTTCCTAAAAAAAAAAATTAATAAATGAATTCACAATGTAACAAAAAGCATGTGGTAGTCATTAAAAAAATCTTCAAGTGAGAGAAGTAGCAGTCCTCCTAGAACTCATATTTTGCATTGGAACTCACTGTAAGACTGAGTAACTGTTCTTTCAGCTCATGGGTGTTAGTATATTGCCATCTTGGTGCAGCCTTTTGTGCTATTTGTAATTTATAACCACCTTTAGGTGATTTTGTGCAATTCACAAACATATGCACAGATAGGGCTCATGTCACCTGTTTACTTGGAGTAAAAAATCATAGATATTTTTCTATTAAATTGTCAGAGCCTATAAATGGTCAAAATAAATGTGTATTCTTGGTAAGTACAGAGCTTACAGATATGCAGATAGGAATGCAGCACCGTTTATTCAGGAATTTGGCTTGTGTATTTGAGTTTCCTTTGTTTTTCTTTCCTCAGCATAATGAGTCTCATTAACATTGTACGTGAACATTGGACAAATATCCTTGTTCCTCTGGGATTTGTGTTGGGATGTTATCTTGATAGAAGAAACGACAGCAAACTTACTGCTTTTAGAAACAAAAGTTTGTTGTATAAACGGTGAGTGAGAGATTTACAGTTTGATTCCATATTTTCTTATTTACAGATTAATTTGTACAACTGCAAAGCCCTTATTTATTTTAAGCCATGATGGGGAGGTGCTAGTATTGATCTGGGTGGACAAAGTCGGAAGTCAGAAGACACCAGGTTACAGTCCAATAGGTTTATTTGAAATCACAAGCTTTTGGAGTACTGCTCCTTCGTCAGGTGAAGTGGCGGGAAGCACACAGGCACAGAATTTATAGGCAGTGATTTCTCTGCCTGTAAATTCTATGCCTGTGCACTTCCATTTCCATCCTCCCCACACACCCCCCCCCCCCCCAAACCCAACCCCCAACCCCCACCCTCCAACCCCAACTTCAGCTGACGAAGGAGCAGCGCTCCAAATGCTCGTGATTTCAAATAAACCTGTTGGACTGTAATCTGGGTGTCATGTGACTTCTGACTTTATATATTTTAAGACAAACCTCCGTCAATTTTAATGAATATCATTAAGTTGGTGATTTAAAATTTTAACAATTTTAAAAATGCACACTTATTTCAAGGCAGAACATTTTCTGGTGTCCATGATTTGCCAACAATGTTTACATTTATGTTTGGCTTATAAAATAATTCTTCTAATGTCCCTTGAGGGGAAGAAAGATGGGAAAGAGATTGTTTAGACATCAGTTGGATTATTATGTCTAATTCTCTGCCCTAAACTTAGACGGGATCCAAAATTTTGGAGCAGGTTCAGAGGAAATATGGTACTGCTCCATCATTTAATGCTATCATACCTGATCAAACACTTCAGTGACTTTTGTCCGTACCATCCCACAAACCTTTATGCCATTGATAATCGAAGTTTATCAAACTTTACCTTAAATATACTGAAAGACTGAACTTTTGCAGTGCTTTGGGGTAGAGAATTCCAACGATTCACCATCTGAGTTTTAAACAAAACTCCTCCTCCTTGTCCTAAATTGCATGTCTCCCCTCCCGTTTGCTTTTTTTGTTGCCTCTGCTTTCTTAAATAGTGGGGTGACATTTGCAAGCTTCCAATCTACGGGAATCATTCCAGAATTTGGAATTTTGGAAGATTACCAATGAATTTACTATTTCTATGGCCCTTTAAAGTGATTTAGATATGAGGGCTGAATGGGTTTTGTTTCTATGAATCTAAGCTGAAACTCTTATCCATGACATTGTTGCCTTTAGACTTTTATTATTCCAGCATACACTTGGCCAGCCTCCCATTTTCCACCCTCAAAACTTCAGCTCATTCAAAGCTTCAGTGCCAATGTCTTAATTTGCATCAATCCCATTCATCATAAGACCATAAGACGTAAGAGCAAAAGAAAGTCATTCAGTCCATTGAGTCTACTCAGCCATTCAATTAGGTGACAGCCAATCTGATAATCCTCCATTCGACTTTCCCGCCTTTTCCCGATTACCCTTGATTCCCTTACTCATTAAAAAAAATGTCTAACTCAGCCTTGAATATACTAAATAACCCAGCCTCTACCAGCCCTCTGTGGTAAAGTAGGCCACAGATTCACTGAAATAAAAACAAAATACTGCAGATGCTGGAAGTCTAAAACAAGCGCAGAATATGCTGGAGAAATTCAGCAGGTCTGATAGCATCTGTGGAGAGAGTTCTGAAGAAGAGTCAAATCGAACACAAAATGTTAACGTTGTTTCTGTCTCTTCAGATGCTGAGTTTCTCCTGCGTTTTCTGTGTTTGTTCCATAAATTCACCCATTACCGTCTGAGAGAAGAAATTCCTCCTCATTAGTCTTAAATGGGCAACCCCTCATTTTGAGATTTATGCCCTTTTGCCTGAGACACTCCCACAGGGGGAAACAATCTTTCTGCATCTACCTATCAAGTCCTCTAAGAATCTTGTATGTTTTTGATAACATCGCCTCTTGTTCTTCTAAATTGCAATGGGTACAGGCCCAACCTACTCAACCTCTCATAAGACAGTCCCTCCTGGGATCAGCCTAGTAAATTCTGTTTGGACTGCCTCCAGTGCCAGTAATTGTTCCTTAGATTATGGGCCCAGAACTGTGGTCTGACTGGTACCTTGTACAGGCACTATACGAGTGAGACCTCCCAGTTCTACTCGTCATTCCCTTTGAAATGAAGACAGACATTCCATTTGCCTTCCATGTTACTTGCTGAACGTTGTTGCTAAGTGTTTGTGACTGCCACACAAGGATGCCCAAATCCTTCTGTGCTGTAACTTTCTACAGTCTTTCACACCAAAATTATGTTCAGCTTCTCTATTCTTCCTGTTAAAGTTTAAAGTTTTGGTAAAGAAGTTTTGTTAAGGTGCATAACCTCATGTTTTGCTACATTAGGCTACTTAATACGATGAGAATATAATGTATGGTTCCTTATCAAACACTTTTTGGAAATTCGAAAGCATTCTGAAATAATTCTATTTTCTGACCAAGGTTAATTCCCCAATAAGCAACTTCTCAATATTAAAATTCCCATCTCTTATCTCCAAAATATGTGTTCTTCTAAGTATGGCTCCTTTAGCATTCCTGATTTTAATTTCTCCATCATTGGTGACTGTGCCTACAACAGTTGCAGCTTTAAACTCTGGAATTCCCTCTAGAAACGTCTCTGCCTCCCATGTCTCTCTTATCCATTAATATTCTTGAAAGCTACCTGTTTGAGCAAGCTTTTGGTTATGTACCCCAAAGTATCATTGTCAGATTTTGTTTGATAATACTGTGTAAGGTGCTTTTGAGATGTTTTATTACATTCAAGGTGCTGTGTAATTGCAACTTCTTGCTTGGTTCTTGTGCTCCAACTTCAGTTGTGAACTCAACCACAATTACTTGAATAGTTTGTTAAACTTTATAATATATTGTTCACCCCAAATTTTTGAAACTTTACGTGGCTATTTTGGTGTTTTGATGCTCTGTTAGAAAGAGTCTTGTAATATCTTCTACTTTCACGTCTGGAATGTCTACACTTGTGGATTTCTTACATTGCAATTTCTGAACCAAAAATTGTTAATGTCTAAGGTGACAACACCAAATCTGTACTGTGATTAGATATATATTTTATTGCTTCTATATTCCATAGTTTACTGCTCACGCTAAGTTTTCAAACCAATTCTTTTTTGTTTTATTTAAGATATAATGTCCCTTTATTTTGATTCATCAAAGTTAATGCTTGCTTTATCTGTTTCCTGTTCGTAGTCCTCTCTATTCCTTCTACAGCTATCCATTTTGCTAAATGCTTTTCTTTTTGTCTATTCATTAATTTTTTAATTGCCCGCCCTCCTAGCTTAAGTGATTCTAGCAACACAGAGGACATATGTAACAACTACTAATTGTAAACAGTTCTTTATGGTAACCTTGAGCATCTGACCTTTTACACAAGCAGTGGCAAATGATGAATAGTCATGCATACAAATTCAAAAGGATCTTGATCAGCTTAATGATTGACACTGTGGCAGATGTAGTTCAACATAAGGAAATGTAAAATTTTAATTTTGACAGTTTACGTATGGATACTAAATGGAAATGTAGTTGAGGCCTTGAAACAGAAGAGAAATCTTGGGGTTTTAGTGAAAATGTCAATAAAACTAGCAGCAAAAGGTATCCAGGTTGCTTAAAACAAAGCAAATAAAATGTTGGATGGCAAAGATAGGATTATGATGTATAAATCCAGAGAGGCTATTTTCAAACAGTATTTAATCATGTCTATATTACTGTATTCTAGCTCAATCATTTCAGGTTTTTCATGTAGTTCTTCGCAGTGATACTTCCACAATTTTCTCATTTCATTGGAGTTGGAGGGACTACCATGAGTCATGGATTTGACTTCAGGGGTGCACCCATGCTTATTTGGAAATGGGGACGTTTAGTCTCTTTAATTTTAGTCTTTATTTAAAATGGTAATCAGTTATTGGAGGGAGTACGGAGAAAGGTTTTTCCTACAATATAAGAGAATGAGGAATTCTGGTGAAAAGTATTTTGCAGCTAATCTAAATGTTTGTAAAATGTATGATGATGATACACATGGAAATGATGGATATGAATTGCTAGTATGCAGCTGCAATGTTTTCTGGAATCAGAATATTTGAGTCAAAAGCTATAAATGAATTTCTGCTTTAATTTAATAGTGAAGAAACAGATTGTGATAAAGTTGAATATCTATTTAGTAACTTCTGTAGTTGAATAGTTATAGATCTTTTTAATCAATCTGGTCAGATGTGTTACTAATGGAGCATGAGACTTGAACCCAGACATCCTGGCTCAATGATAAGGACACTGCCAGAGTGCCATAAGAGCCCCCAAAAAGGTTGATGAGCAGATATTTCAATCAACTTGTTCAGACATGTTATGACACACCTCTAGAGCAGGTTATGACACCACAAGAATCCTAATTGAAGTGTTGTATATTTTAATTAATCACATTATCATTCCTTTCAGGGAACTGAAACCAGGAGAAGAAACAACATGGAAGTGAAGAGCTAAAAGCCAGACTGTGAAACAAGCAACCATGTTGCATAAAAATCAGTCCAAATGCAGTTTTTGTCTTGAATCTTCAATTAAGGATCTGGTGAAAGTTAATTTGAATAATGCTGTTTTGTTTTATTACATTTTCACCTCTCTCAATCTGCATATCTTTGTGCAACAGAAAATTAGTTTAAAGTCCTAAAATTTGCCCAAGATTGTCCCCTTGGTGTCACTGGAGTGTAAAGTTTAAAAATGAACAGCAAATAGTTCATTATTTGTTTCATTAACCTGGATATGTACAAATGGTATGGCAGACTTAATAAAACTTATTGTATTTATTTTATTTGAACCTTTTTTCAACATTTATAATTTTAAAGTTGTAAAATGTTAAGTGAGGAGTGGTAGGACATGGATTTGTATCAAATGATCATCTTTCCATTCTGTTGCTCTGGGAGTTGACAAAGGAAAAATATAAGTGTCACCAATTCCAAGTGATCAACATATTTGAATGAATGAATGATTTAAAGTCACATATATCTAGGGAGATACAGTGAAAAGTGTTCTGTCACCACAATCTGGTGCCATTTTGAGGTACAAAAGAATAAAAAGAAAGTACTTCATCAGCCATAGTCCCAAACACAACTGCAGGACTTCTGCAAGGTCCCTGCTTCGGGCCTGCCACAGCCAGTAGCCACCACTCGCGGGGCTGACACTGCCACAGTCAATGACCTGCCGTTGCCAAAAGAGTCCATGCTCTGGACCTGCGGCAGCTGACAGCACACTACTATTTCAGCAGTCCATATATCAGGTCTATGAGCCAGGAGTCAGCACCAACATCAATTTGTAGTGGAGAATGATATTTCATTAGATTATTTCAAATTTTGAGCTCTTAATAATCCTACTGAACCTGACTGATGTCTTTGTAAATCTTGGAGTGGAACTGCAGTATTTCAGTGGCTTAATTGCTTAATAAGATTGTTGGCAAGTATTCAAACAATTTAATTTGAAATGACAACAGAAGATGCTGGAAACACTCAGCAGAGGGTGATCATAATGGCACACAATCAATCTATGCATCTGAATTGAATGCACCCCGGTATCCCATTCATGCACTGCTCGTTTCCCATCTTCCTTTTCATCCCCTTCACAGTGATGTGCCCATCATTGTGAAGAAGGCCATGTATTCAACAGCAGACATCTGCTATTTGTGTGGATTGAACATTGACTACCTATAATTTATACAAAACTGGTGGCTTGCCTTTTTATTCCTTCTCTTTTCCACCTTGTGTTTTTGTTTCTTGTTCATTTGCAAGATTATTTCACGGATTACCTATTAAGTTTCCACAAACCCCAGACTGAAAGTCATTGTCTTGAATTAGAAAGTCCAACAAACAGCTATGTGATAATTACATATTTTGGTTTTATTGATGTTGGTTATGGGATAGATATAGCCAGGATAGTGGGGAAATGTCCATCCTTTTCACAAATAAGGAACAAGTGTAGACCACTCAACCCTTTGAGCCTGCTATTCTAACCAAAGTTAACATTCTATCCATGTAGCAGTGGAGTGTCAGTCTAGATTTTATGTTCAAATAACTAGATTTAAATTAAATCTTCTGACTCAGAGGTAAAGTACTACCACTGAATCATGACTTATACCTAAAAACATGTATTGTTATTTTCTTAAAAATCATTGTTTTTGTTCATGTCCAGATGCCAATAACTAGGCTGACAAGTGGCAAGGAACATTCATGCCACACAAGTACCATACAATGACCATCTACAGCAAGAGAGAACCTAACCATCGTCCCTTGACATTCAAAGTCATTTTTAGTCAGAGGCTAGGAATCCTGCAGTGAGTAACTCACCTGACTCATGTGGCACAAGTCAAGAATGCAATGGAAAATACTTCCCACTTGTCTGGATAGGTGCAGCTGCAACAATACTGAAGAAGTTTGACATAATTTGGGGCAAAGCAGCTACCTTACTGGTACCACACCTAAAACATTCACTCCCACTAGTAGCAGTGTGTACCATGAACAAGGTACACTGCAGAAATTCATAAGGCTCTTTAGATAGCACCTTCCAAGCACGCACCCAGCAGATAACACCACCAACTGCAAGTGCCCCTAATTTGGAAATATATTGCTATTCCTTAAGTGTCACTGAGTCAAAATTCTGGAACTCCCTTCCTAATGGCATTGTGGGTCTACCTAAACAAAATGTACTGGAACCATTCAAGGCACCTCACTTCCACATTCTCAAGGGCATCTAAGGATAGGCAATAAATGCTGGCCCAACCATCAATGCCCACATCCATTGCAACATAATCTCATGTGCCATTGGCATCCAAAGGGACTGGAAAATGATGCCGTCCACAAACAACAAAATCAAATACGTGCAAATCCAACCACTGTCCTTCAAATTGGCCCTTGTAATTATGATCCCAGTCTAATGTGAGTTACTCTGGTGGTAGCCAAACATCCTAGAAGCCCCAGATCACTGCATCAATAAGATACTGAAAACCATGATTGGAGGTCTTCCAATCTATCTCTCAATGCCACTTGAGAACTAAGAACACGTCCCCATCTATATAAAGGGAGCAGAGGTTGAAAACATCAAGTTCCTAGGAGTGACGATAACCAACAACCTGTCCTGGACTTTCCACATAGATGCGATGGTCAAGAAGGCACAACAATGACTCTAGCTCAGATGGCTTAGAGAATTTAGCATGTCCACAACGTCCCTCACCAACTTTCACAGAAAGCATACTAACTGGGTACATAGCAGCCTGGTATGGCAAATGCTCTGCCAGGACCATAAGAAACTACAGAAGGTTGGGTGCACAGCCAGACCATCACGGATGCCAACCTTCTATTAATGGACTCCATTTACACTTCTCGCTGCTGCGGAAAGGCTGCCAATATCAACAAAACCTCATCAACCCCAGTAATGCTCTCATACAACCTCTTCTGTCAAGCAGAAGATACAGAAGCTTGACCACACGTACGAACAGGTTCAAGAACAGCTTCTTCCCTGCTATTATTAGACTGATGAATGGACTCTCTAACTTCAAAAAGGTTGATCCTCCTGTTCAGTGTAACCTGTATGCCTCATTCTGTCTAAACACCCTAAGATCTGTATATCCCTGCTTACTATAATCTGCTAGTACTGCTCACAAACAAAGCTTTTCACTGTACTCAGGTACACGTGACTACAATAAATTAAATAAAATTTCATAGACAGAAGACACTAACTGCTTCGTCTCCAATTGTATAGGTGCAGGCAGGCAAACCTATTCCTGAAGCTGAAAAAAACGAAAGAACTGCGGATGCTATAAATCAGAAACAAAAACAAAGTTGCTGGAAAAGCTCAGCAGGTCTGGCAGCATCTGTGAAGGAAATAAAGAGTTAACGTTTCAGGTCTGATGACCTTTCCTCAGAACTGCCCTGAAGCTACTCGAACAGATGGAAGATATTCCGCACGGAAACAGACCCTTCGGTCCAACTTGTCCATGTCGACCATATGAATTACATTTCTATTCTCTCATGCTTCCCCACCTTATAATCTGTGCTGCCTGACCTGCTGAGAAATTCCAGCACTTTTTGTGGGTTTTGTTTTTCAGATTTCCAGCATCTGCAATTTATTTGGGTTTTTTTTTTGCCTTGAAGCTTATCACGTCAAGCTCGCGTAAAATATCACGTTGGGTACACACATACTGCACACACACACACACACGCACGGTGTCTTTCGACAACATTCCTGTCTGGTCCTGCACGACAGGAGGGAAAATAGTAAATTTCCGCCAGCAGCAGGCCGGCGTCAAGTGTGATACAGGAAACTCCGCTTCGGCATTGATTTCTTAAAATTCCGGACATTTTAGTCGATTTCTGTGGAGAAGTGACTGCACTCGGTGTAGGTCTAAAAGCCACGCCGGCTGTGCCCAGGCCGGGCCTCAACCTCGGGGCCGCCCCCGCGTCTCTCACTGTGTTACGTTGCTGGGGCGACTGTGTGTTTCTATACGCATGCGTATGTCCAGGCCGTTGATTGGTTCTCAGCTTTGACCCCGCCCCCAGTGGGTGTGGTCACGCCGCACAGGATGATGGTTCATCGTCCATCATGGAGGCGATATTTCACGAGAAAGTGAGTTGATGCGGAAATTACTGTTTAAAATGGCCGAGGTGGCGGCTCTTCGGGCCCCGAGAGGAACGGCCGCAGTGGCGTTCGACGTCGTGTTGCAAAGGGGGGAAAAAACACACACACACACGCCCCTCCCTAAGGTTGGGGATGGAATCGGGTAGGGCAAGGGGAGCTGTGAGCTTCCCAAACAGTGTAGACGGGGGAGGAAGTATTCTTCTGCCTGAGTGTGGGGTGCCTTCAACCCTTTTCCCCCGGCCGACTGAGGGGCCTTCAGCCCCTGCGCCCCCTACCCCCGACTGAGGGGCCTTCGCCCCCTGCCCCACCCACCCCGACTGAGGGGCCTTCGCCCCCTGCCCCACCCACCCCGACTGAGGGGCCTTC